CTCCGTCAAGGTGCCCTCGAGCGCGGCGGCGGTGAGCTTCTCCGCGTCGCGCTGCACTCGCGCCCGTGACAGCCTGCCGGCCGCCCCTCGGGTACCAAGCCCTTCGCCGTCCCCGCCGGTAGGCATGCGCCCTTCCAGCGATGCTGTTGCGGCCCCGCAGGGAGGGGTTCGCGCCGCCGGTGGAGGGCCAGGAGAGGGCGCGCCCGAGCGGAGGTCACGCGCCAAGAGCGACGCAATCGCCGCTGCTCGACCTGGTACGCCCAAGGGGGACGCTCACCCCGTCTCGCTTCTGTCGGAGGCGAACGGCTCGGCTCCAGCTTCGTTGGGGGGTCTTCTGGGTCGTCCGTCCGTCACGACTCAGACTCGCCACCGCCAAGATCGTGCCGCCAAACTTGTTGCCGCGCTCGATTTGCTCCACCTGGAGCGCGGTGCGACCACTGATCGCGTGAACGCTCAGTTTCGACGGATGGGTTGGGCCTGCCATCCCGACCGCGATAAGTCGATCGAGGCCAGCAGGAAATGGCGTGCTCTCTGTGACGCCAAAGCCTTCCTCCTCGGGCCTGGGCGCGATGTTACCGGCCCCGATGCCCCGGCCTCTGGCGGCGCTACTCGCCGTGCTTTGGGCAGAGGGCTCTTGGCGGCGGGAAGGCGTGACGACGCGAACCGCTCGCGCGGGGTCGCCACTCGGGATTCGGCTCTCGACGCCTCCCTCGGTGCTCGCCTCCGCGGCATGCCGGGGGAGCGTCGGAGCGCCCCTGGCGCGTCTCCAGACGCAGAGCCGAGCGCGGTCGCTAGCTGCAGCGACCCAGGGTCGCGGGCTGCGCCACGTTGTACGGTGCAGACCCCCGCGATGCCTACTGCCGCCATGCGACGCACGCAAGCTCGCCCGGAGGCCGACCTGGGGGCCGCCCGTACCGCGGCCGCGGTGCTCCCGCCCTTTCGAGCCAGCACCCTGCCCCCCCTGCCAGGGTGCCGCGCCGACGCCCATAGCGTCGCGCCGCGCGCCAGCTCTGCACCTGCCCTGCTGGCCGGGCGCTCGCTGGGCGCAGCGGCTATGCTGCGTGCTACCCGCGAGCGGACTGCCAGTGCGGCCACCGCCGGGGCGGCACATCACAGGGCCGTGCTTCCGTGGGGCCACAGCGCAGAGCGCAGCGAGGTGTCGCCGGCTCCCAGCTTTGCCGACTCCTGCTGCGCCGGCCAGCGTGCCGACTCTTGCGCCGCCCAGCTCACCGCGTCCCGCGGCGACCAGCTCACTGACTTGCAGCCCTCCAAGCTCACCGACTCCCGCACCGACCAGCTCGCCGACTCCCGCGCCGACCAGATCGCCGACTCGCGTGCCGAGGGGCTCGCCGACGCCCGCACCGACCAGCTCGCTGACGCCTTCACCCGTTCCGACTCCCGTGCCGATCCTCTCACCGGATTAGCATTGCGCACCAGCCGGGTCGTTGGCCCGACGGCCACGGTTGCGAGGCGCGTGCGTGACGAACGGCGCGCTCTGGCGCGGTTCCGTGCCTCGGTCGATGTTCTCGACGCCGCTCTTACCGAAGTTGAATTCGGTCGAGGCGCGGAGGCTTGGGGTCCAAGTGCAGGAGAGCTGGCTGAGCTTTTGCAGACGACACTGGCCGAGCTCGAGCGCCAGAAGGCTGCGTTGCGCATCGCCCGCTCTCGCACTGCCGAGTGCGTCAGAGGGTCCGCTTCCGCCTCGGGCTTTTCGGGTGGAGGCGCCGCCGCAGCCGCTGCCGGCGCACCCCCGAGAGCTCCCGCCACGGCTGGTAGCGCTACTTTTGCAGCTCAAGCGAAGGAGCGTGCGGATAAGCACACGGCTAGCTATCGCGACGTGGTCGAGGCTAGGGCTCATTCGGGCGCCCAGGCGTCGCATCCGCGCAAGCGCCGTGGCGTCGGGCGCCCGTGCTCTGCGGCGCCCGTCACGCCACGGACCGCCATTAGTTGCGATGAGCGCTCCCGCTCCGCAGCACCTGCCGCCACCCGCTCGGCCGCGTTTTCCGAGACGCTGTGCGCTGTTGACCGCAGGCGGCGCGAGCACTCCCCAGGACTCAGGCCTCTGATCCTGGACGGCACGGACCGCCAGCCGGAAGCCGCGCCGAGCACCGGCGAGGTCGTCGAGGCCCCCCGCGCCGAGCAACGCGGCCGCACCTCGCGTCGCAAGCGCAGGCGTGTTCGGGCTTCCGCCGGAGCGGCAGCTACCACTCCTGCCAATCCCTCTGGTCAAGAGCCGCCCGCGTCAGCCTTCGTGGCAGGGCGCCAGGACTGGCCTGCCTCTCTGGAGCCTGCCCTTCCCGAGGGGGCTTCCGAGGCCCTCGGGGTGAAGGTGGAGAGCCACTCTCGGCGCGTCCCCTCTTGCGGCGACCAGCGCACTCGTTCGCTTAAGGCGTTTGACGTGTGGTGCGCCGAGCACACAGGAGTGGCACTTGCCACATGGGCTCGCAGCGGCATCTTGCTCGGGAGAGCGCTCGCGACCTTCGGCGTGTGGTTGTACGATGCTGGCTTCCCCCGCCTCGTCCTCGTGAATGCGATCCGGGGAGCACAGGCCCTTCAGCCCCACTGGAGGGGCTTCCTCACCGAGGCGTGGGATGTGGCGGAGCGGTGGATCCCTTCCAAGCCTCCCTGTCCCCTCCCACCGCTACCGCGTGCTCTGCTGCGCGCCATGGTAGCGTTGTGCCTCGCATGGGACTGGCCGGATATGGCCACCCTGCTGCTTGCCGGGTTCACTATGTCCGTGAGGCCTGGTGAGTTGGCAACCGCCCGCCGGAGCGACCTCACTCTGCCCATTGACCGCCGTGAGTCCACGGGCGACGCTTTGCTGAGCATCTCTGTTCCGGAGGCCCGGGGGTCTGGCGGAGAGCGTCAACACGCTCGGTGCTCCGATCGTGCTGTGGTCAGGATGATGGAGCTGGTCTTTAGAGATTTGAGTCCCACCGATCCCCTATTGACCTTCGGTCAAAGCGGCTTCCGCACTCGGTGGCTCGATCTTCTTTCGGCGCTGGGCGTCCCGCTCGCCAGAGCGCCATCGGGGTTCGATCTGTCCCCTGCGCTGCGCTTCAGAACCGATATTTCGGACGGCATTAATCGCGTCTTCTGGCGTGATCGCTGGCGGCTAGCTTCCAGTACAGAGCGCTATCTCCACGATGCTGCCGCCTCTGCAGTCCTCCCATCATTGGCTGAAGCCGCTCGGGACCGCGTTTCTTACCTCGCCGAAGCAAGCGACCTCCTCGTCGCATCCTTTCTGAATGTTGGCCCAGCTGTGTGGCCCATTCAGCTCGCGGCCGCCCGCCGAAACCTTGTCACTTCGCAAGGGCTTTGAGCCTGGGTATGGCTGCTGCGGCCTCCCTTGGCCGCCCGGGTGCCCTCGTTGGACGAGGCCGCCTGAGAGCGTCGCACGGCCCGCCCGCGTAGGCCTGTCCCGCTTTACGGGCCGCCGCGGGCGCGCGCCGCGCGTTCGCCCTGAGACGACTGCTCACTTGCGCAGCGTGCGGGGATGCTCCTTCTTATCCCCATCGCGCCCGCTGATTGCAGTCGTCTGCAGCTTCTCGGCCCCCTCCCTCTCTCCTCCCTCCTTCTTCGAAGGCTGACCTGCGGCGCTGCTGCGGCCTCCCTTGGCCGCCCGGGTGCCCTCGTTGGACGAGGCCGCCTGAGAGCGTCGCACGGCCCGCCCGCGTAGGCCTGTCCCGCTTTACGGGCCGCCGCGGGCGCGCGCCGCGCGTTCGCCCTGAGACGACTGCTCACTTGCGCAGCGTGCGGGGATGATGCTGATGCCCATGCTGATGCTGATGACGGCGATCCAGGTTGATGCTGTTGCTGCTGCTGTTGCGGCTGCTGTTGCTGATGATGATGTTGATGATGATGATGATGATGATGCTCATTCTCATCACTACCATCATCATCTTCATCATACTCATCATCATCATGATCATGGTCATGATCATGCTGGTGATGTTGATGGCGAGGATGTCAATGAAGACGCCTGAGATTATGGTGATGATGGTGTGGGTGAGGAGGATGAGACAGTTGACGGTCAGAAATTCAAACAGTCCTGACACGTGGCGTACCCCGCCAGCCTATCCAGAAACGGTTGCCGTGAGAGCTGCCTGGATGAGGGGCGTAGGTTCGCACATAGTGAAACAGGAACACCAACGATCGTGATGGCAGAGGCTTCGGGGAGCCTCTTGGAGCCGTATTGGGCCAATTTCGGATGCCTTGGGGTTTTTTTGGGGGGGCCTTCTTGGGGCTCTTCCGGGGCTCGCTTGGGGCCCTCGAGGGCCTCTGTGGGCCATCGTGGAGGCCCTCGATCAAAGGGGAGGGTGGTCATCGATTCCCCCGCCGCCCCCCCCTCGGAGGCCCAAGCTTCGGCTCTTGGGGCTATCTTGGGACGCTCTTGGGACTCTCTTTGCTGCCGTCTTTGGGCCCTATTGGTCCTCTCGTTGAGCCTTCCTGGGCTATCGTGGGCCCTCGGAGGCCCATCGCAAGCGAAACGGCAAAAGTGCAATCATCATTGATTTACACTGGGGTTTGGAGACGGTTTTTGGCCTCTCGGAGGCCTCCTTGGATGGCTCCGTGGAAACTTGAAGCCGTCTTAAGGCCATCCTGAGGCATCTTGGAGTTACTTCGGAGGATATCGTGCGCCATATCAGGCTGTGTTGTGCCATCTTGGCACGTCGGGGCCATCTTGAACCCAAACGGGCCGTCTGACACCCCCCCCCTCACCCCCGTCCAGACCCAGTGGTTGGGTATGGGGGAGGGGTAACTCCCTTCCGTAATCCCCTCCCCGAATGTAGGAGTAATGGGTTTGATCTGAAAATTCGTGGTTTCGGGAAGGTTTCGAAGTGCGCGCGTGCGCGGAGATGCGTGCGTGTAGCCCGCATGGTGTTATCCGACCGAGTTGGCGGATGCGCGATGATTTTTGAAGGTTTGCGACGTGCGCGGTCTCATGCGGCAGGATCGCCAAACGCCGATAGTTCATCGGCTCGCGCCGCACCACCGACCTCTTGGGTTGCTTCGGCGTCGTGGCTCTCTCCCTCCCGCCCTCCAGCGGGGTGCCAGCCCTTCCTGCCGCGGACCTGGCTGCACGCTGAGTCTGGGACAGTGTTTCGGCTGTCGTGCTTGATATTTTGGGCCGTAACTCGGGACATCTTCGACTCGTGTTGCCGCTCTGGGAGGGCGCCTCGTTGCGCTCCGGAGTGGCGCATAACCACCGCCCCGACGCAGAGCTTCTCTGCGCCGCGTGCTTCCTCCTCATCCTCCCCATGTTCCTCCTCCTCCTCCTCCTCCTCCTCCTCCTCCTCCTCCTCCTCCTCCTCCTCCTCCTCCTCCTCCTCCTCCTCCTCCTCCTCCTCCTCCTCCTCCTCCTCCTCCTCTCTCTCTCCTCCCTCCTCCTCCACTCTTATTCCTCCTCTCCTTCCCTCCTCCTCCTCCTCCTCCTCCTCCTCCTCCTCCTCCTCCTCCTCCTCTCTGCACTGCAGCGTCGTCGCCTGGCACGCGCCCGCCCGCGAAGGCGGCCGAGCGCGGCCATCAGAGGCCCGTTTTTTCCCTCGGGTCCGGGTCGGGGCCTGCGGCTCGCAGGCCGGAGTCTGCCGCCTGTCGCTTGGCACGTCGGACCCGCGGATTCTTGGGGCCGTTGGTTGAGGGGAACAAAAAGTCACATAAACATGTAAACTCGGAGGTCCGGATTTCTCGGATCGGCGTTGGACACCCCTCCCTGGCGCGCGGGCCCCAGCGCCGATCCGAGGAATCCGCGCGGACCTCCGAGTTTTTATGTTTATGTCACTTTTTGTTCCCCTATTTAGTTCTCTCTGGAGGGGCCTGCTGGCGGCCTCGGGGACCTCTTCTGGGCGGAGGGTTCGAAGCGTCAGCTCGAGCTCCTTCTCCCGCATTCTCTTGGCGGGCCTCTTGCGCCGTCTTGGGCACCTTTGGAATCTGGAGGAATCTGGAGGAAGCCACAGGAGTCCAGAGGAGTCGGAGTCCTGAGGAGTCCTGAGGGGAGCTTCTTGGGGGCAGGTTGGGGCCTCCGAGATGCCTGGTGAAGGCCTCTTGGGGCCTGATGCTGGGGGCATCTGGACTCGTCATCGGGCGCTCTTGGCCCGTCCGGCGCGGTCGGAGCCAAACGAGGCAATCTGGCGGCAAGCGTGAAGTGCTATCAAGTGGGATGAGCGCCTCGAAGAAAACAGGCGAAGTGCCCCGCGGAGGCAGGCAGCTTCGCACGGCGGCAAGCCCCGGACACTCCGAGGAGTCTGGCCACCGCGTCGCCACCGCAGGGGAAGCAGGTGGAACCCCGAAGCGAAGAGCATGCGCATCTGGACGCGTTGGCGCAACGTTTTGGAGGCCTCTCGTGAGTTTCTTGGGGGCATGGTGGGGCCTCTTGGGGCCATTTCAGGGCCTATGAGGGCCTCTTCGGGGGGCCTCTTCGGAGGGGGATTGAAACCGTCCTCTGGCGCTTTTGGGCTGTCCGGCGCCTCAGGCGATCGTCATAGGGGGCCTTTCTAGAGCCTGGACGCTGCGAAGTCAGCGACAGCGGGTATTCAAACACACCCGCTTCCCTCGAAGGAAGTTGGAGAATTTTTCCTCCTTGGGGTCCTCTTGGGGTCTTCTTGGGGGTTGTCTTGGGGCGTCTTGGGGCCTCTTCGGGATATCGTGGGGCCGTTTTGGAGCCTCCTGGGGCCATCGGGGCCACGTGGAGGCCATCTGCAGTCGTCTTGAGGCGTCCTGGGGCCATTTCGAAGTCATGTGACGCCGTCCAGGATCATTTCTGGAACGGATAATCTCCAGGGGAGTCAGCGGATCCGGCTGGACCCCCCCTTTCCACACCGACCAGACCGGGCCCCCAGGGGACGGGTTTTGGGGATGGGCATCTATCGCAGTCGCCAAGCACCCCCCCAGGGGTCGACGGATGTTCTTTGCATGTCAAACATGGTGCCTGTTTTTTTGAGCCTCCACATCTCTTGGAAAGAGCGCGTTCTGTGGGCGCTTGGAGGGGTGGCGGGGGGTGGAGAACCGGCCTCTCCCCCCTGGCCGTGACGAAGGGGCGGGTGGTTCAACCCCCCCCTGACTTCTTCTTTCTGCCTCTCCTCGGGCCAGCGCTGGCGTCGGCGGCAGCTGGCGGCGGCGGCGGGGAGCGTCGATGAAGACGACGACTTCCTTCTCTTGGCCGGCGCCGGCGCTTGCGGCGGCTGGCGGCGGCGGCGGGAATCGTCGACGAGGACGACGGCGACAACGATGACGACGACGACGCTCCGCCACCGTGCCTTGGTTTTGGGCCAGAGTCCTCATGGATGCCTCTTGGAGTTTTGTCGAATGGCTCTCGGGGGCCTCTGAAGGGCATTTGTGAAGCCTTCTGGGGGCCTCTTGGACATCTCTTGGGGCCTCTCTGAGATGGGGGTGGTGGTGGTGGGCTGTGGTGGTGTGGTGGGTTGTGGTGGGTGGTGAGTTTGGTGGTTGGTGGTTGGTGGTTGTGGTGGTTTGGTGGTGTGGTGGTTGTGGTGGTGGCTTGGTGGTGGGTAGTGGTGGTGTGGTGGTGTGACAGGGTGGTGGTAGTGGTGTGGTGGTTTGTGGCTGGTGGTGGTGTCTAAGTGGTGTGGTGTGATGGTTGTGGTGGGTTGTGGTGGTGGTGGTGGCGTTTCTTTCGGTAGGTGGTGGGTGGTGGTGGTGTGGTGGATTGTAGTGGTTTGTGGTGATGGTGATGATTGTAGAGTGGTGGTTGGTTTTGTGGTGGGTGGTTGTGGGTGGTGGTGCTGGTGGCGGTGGTGGTGGTGGGTGGTGGTCGTTTGTGGTGTGGTGGAGGTGGTTTGTGATGGTGGTGGTGGTCTGGGTGGTGTTGTGGTGTGTGGTTTTTGTGGTGGTGGTGGGGTTTCCTCCTTGGCTGGTGGTGTTGGCAGTGGTGGTGGTGGTGGTGGTGGTGGGCTTTGGAGGTGGTGCTGGTGGTGGTGGTGGTGGTGAAGGTGTGGTGATGTGGTGGTTTGTGGTGGTGGTGGTGGTGGTGATAGGTTGCTCTGGTGGTGAGGTGGTGGTTGTGGCGGTGGTGGTGGTGTGGTAGATTGTGGTGGTGGTAGTGGTGGTGGTGGGTTGTTGTGGGTGTGGTGGGTGTGGTGGTGGGTTGTTGTGGTGGTGGTTGTGGCTGTGGTGGTGGTGGTGGTTGCGTGATGGTTTGCGGTAGTCGTGGTGGTGGCGGTGAGTTGTGGTGGTGGTGGTGATTGTGGTAATGTTGGTTGTGGCGGTGATGGTGGAAGCGTGGTGGCGGTGCTGGTGATGGGCTGCTTGTGGTGGTGGTGGTGTGTGATGGGTGGTGGTGGTGGTAGTTGTGGTGGTGGTGGTGGTTTGTGGTGGTGGTGGTGGTGGGTTGTGGTGGTGGTGGCGGCGGTGGTGGTGGTGGTGGTGGTGGTGGTGGTGGTGTGGTGGTTTGTGGTGCTGGTGGTGGCTGTGGTGGCTGTGGTGGGTTGCGGTGGGTTGTGGTGGGTTGTGGTGGTGGAGGTTGCGTTTTTGGTGGTGGTGGTGGTTGTGTGGTGGTTTGTGGTGGTGGTGAGGCCTTCGAGTCTTCCCGCCACCGTGTTTTGGCTTTGGGTCAGGTGGTGGTGGTGGTGGGCAGTGTTGGTGGTGGTGGTGGTGGTGGTGGCGGTGGTGGTTGGTGGTGGTGGTGGTGTGGTGGTTGGTTGTGGTGGTGGTTGTTGTGGTGGTGTACATGGCGATTTGTGTTTCCCCTCTGCGGCCTATGGGCCCTCTCTGGTCATCGTCGCTGCGTTCCCGCCGTCGGTACTGCTGGCCGCCGCCAGCGCCGGCGCCGGCGCCAGCGCCGAGGGGGGGTGGTTTGGACCCCCCCCTGGGCCCTCTGAGGTCATCGTCGCTGCGTCTGCCGTCGGCGCTGCTGGCCGCCGCCATCGCTGGCGCTGGCGCCTGGGCGGGGGAGGGGTTTTGAACCGCCGCCCCTCCTGGGAGGGGGAGGGGGGGGTTCGGGCGGGGGATATCAGGGGGAGGGGAGTCCCACTGGTTCTGATCGACGGCGCCGGGTGTTGCGAGGGAACCCACCCCCCAGTTAGAAACGCGCCGCCGAATGTTCCCAAGGCAAGCGCCCGTGAAACGCGCTCTCTCATATCTTGATATTGTTAAAGGACCAGAGGCATTTGACGGATGCGTGTGCGCGCGCACATGGCCCAAATTGCATTATTTGATCGGTGCTATTACAAAGCGCGCTTGGTTGAGTAACTATCGCGTTTGCGCCGCAGTGTTTTCTTGTTCGGCAAGGATGAATGGTGTGTCGATACCAGGCCAGCCGGCATTTAATCGTTTTAGCTGTCGGATGATATATCACTCGTAATAGCGTGAATTATCCCAGTGCGACCCTATCTAGGAGTTGGAGCATCTAGGCAAGCAACATCTACATCTACACCGGCAGCTACATTAACATCTACACCTGCATCTACATCTACATCAACATCAACAGCGAGACTCACATCTACATCTACATATACACCTACACCTACATCTACATCTAGATCTCCATCTACATCTACATCTACATCTACATTTACATCTACATCTACATCTTCATCTACATAAATATCTACATCTACATCTACATATACATCTACATCTACATCTACATCTACAGTTACATCTACATCTACATCTACATCTACATCTACATCTACATCTACATCTACATCTACATCTACATCTACATCTACATCTACATCTACATCTACATCTACATCTACATCTACATCTACATCTACATCTACATCTACATCTACATCTACATCTACATCTACATCTACATCTACATCTACATCTACATCTACATCTACATCTACATCTACATCTACATCTACATCTACATCTACATCTACATCTACATCTACATCTTCATCTATCTACATCTACATCTACATCTACATCTACATCTACATCTACATCTACATCTACATCTACATCTACATCTACATCTACAGTTACATCTACATCTACATCTACATCTACATCTACATCTACATCTACATCTACATCTACATCTACATCTACATCTACATCTACATCTACATCTACACCTACACCTACATCTACAACTACAACTACAACTACAACTACAATCACAACTACAACTACAACTACAACTACAACTACAACTACACCTACATCCACATCTACACCTACACCTACATCTGCATCTACATTTGCATCTACACGTTCGCATTGGTTTTGTTTTTGATTTGCATTGCCTTGCCTTTGCGTTTGCTTTTGCTGTTGCTGTTGGTTTTATTTTGGTTTTGTTTTGCGTTTGTTTGATTGTGCTTTTGCTTTGCGTGCGCTATGCTATGAGACTGGGGTGTGCTATGCTGCGCTATGCTATAATATGCGATGCTATGCTATATTATGATGCGCTATGGTATTGCTTAGTGTTGCTTCCTTTGTTGCTATGCTATGCTGCGCTATGCTATGCTGTGCTATGACATGCTATTATATTATGCGCTGTGCTATGCTAGGCGAGGCTATGCTATGATATGCTATGCTGCGCTATGCTATGCTATGTTATGCGATGCCGTGCTGTGCTGTGCTATGCTATGCTATGTTTTACTATGCTGCGCTATGATATGCAATGCTGTGTTTTGCTATGCGATGATATGCCTTGCTGCTTTGTGCTATGCTAAACTAAGATATGCTGTGCGATGTTATACTATGCTGTGCTATGTTGCGCTATGCTATACTATAATATGCTATGCTAGGCTGCGCTATGATATGCTGCGCGATGCTATGATATGATAT